TTCCTGAGCAGGGAAGTATCGCAGGTTTTCTTGTGGTTTCAGCTCTTCCTTCGTTCAGCATATAGATGTTGATTATCTGCTTTGTGAAAAGCACTGTGTTTGGTGCACTTAAAAAAAAATCAAAACAAAAAAATGGATATAAACATTTCAGAATGAATAGAAAGTGTGCCATTTTAAAATAACAACTTGGGCAGACAGCCTTCTCTTTAGCTTGTCACCTCGACCGGCTACTTCGCTTTGGGTGTGACAGGTGAGGTACCCAGCGTGTGGTTGGAAATGTGCTGGTGAGGTAAGAGACAGCTGCATTTGTTTGAAAAGAAATTAAGGAGAATCTGGGGAATGGGGATTTACGTGCCAGTGGGGACACATGGAGAGGAAAGTGATGTAGAGGTGTAGGGCCCGTCCCACGGCATAAGGCATGTCTTGTGGAGAAATGTTAGCTCGTGAAAATTCCTCAGTTGAAAGTGCTGAAATGACCCTGAAGGAAAGCTGTATCAAATATCCTACCTGTACTACATGCAGCCAAAAGGCGCCTAAGTGCTAAACCAACGTAGTCTCCTCCTGCAAATGCTCCATATGAGCGATGGTACAAGGGAAATCAACAAAACGGAGCAGTTTCTAAGTGTAGCTGGAGCAGAGCTGAGATCAGGTGAACCCTTGAGGATATGTGTGAGATTCTGATGAATTGGAAATGGGGATGAGGGTAACTAATTATGGGAATGAGGCCATAAAGCCCTCAGAGTTTGTAGAAATCTTAGAGGAGGCCCTGAACGTCCCGGAGGATGTAAGACAATTTCACTGATGTTTCAGTCCGCAGAGTAACCTCAGCTGACAACCAAGGTACATAAAAGAATGTAAGATGTCTTTGCCTCTCTCCGTTTCTCCCTCACTTCCCACACATACAACTCCAGTCTTTAAGGATATTACTCTTGGGAATATGAGATGCATTCATAATGTTCAAGGCAAGACGGTTCCATGTGCGAGAGATAAATTGGAAGTGGGGAGAATGAGACTTCTGATCTATGGGTAAAATAGGAAATGAGGCAAGATGCCTTCCAGCAGGAGTGATTAAGGCGGATTCATGGGTGAAGTAAGGTCTGAGTTCAAGAACCGTTCGAATCAGGATGGTCCGTTGAAATTGAGGGGATGATGTACGAGCAATGTGGGAAAACTTAAACCACAATGGAGGGTCCTTACAGAGGACAGTTTGGGACACAAAGGAAGGATAAGCCAGGGCCAGACTGCAAAATAGACTTCGGATGCCTCAGAAAAGCATGGAAAGGTCTGTGGCAATCTTGGAGGACCTGGCCGGACAGGGCTGGAGATGTCCAGAGTGAGGCTGCTGACACCGTGTGTGGTCTCACAGACAAATCCACGCACGCACTTTAAGGGTCTTCTGGGCATGAGTCTCCTGAGGACACATCTGGAAAGATAGTTATGCAGCCAGTGTCTTGCAAACAATACTCAGCTCCGTGCAGGTCTCTAGGGGAGATGAGGGGCCGTGAGGTCGGCATCCTGACTGGTATTATTTAACAGATTTACCAACACACAGTCCACTCTCCCACAAGTGTTCCACGCCTGAGCTTCCCACAGCCTCGTTGCCTCATTAAGCAGCAAGTGTAGCGCCCAAGAGTGGAGCGGGTCTGCATGTGAGCAGCAGTGCCTTCCAACTCTGCAAGGTCACATACCACAGTGGTGTGTGGCCAATCCTCCCATCAGGCCATCAAGGGAAAAAGTGTGACTAATTGCCGTTGGAAAGAACAATGATCCAGAAACACCCTTTGCAGGAGGATGAGTGCTGATCGTGAGGCTGTGTTCTCAGGAGACAGAGCACATTTCCTGTCCCCTCTCCGGGCTATGCCACTGGGGAGCCCTGGGCTTCTTACCACGGGCTCTGCTTCTCGAATTCTCCCCTTTCCTGTGTCCACAGTCTTGGCCTCTTGGATACTCCTGAGCCCACTTCTGATTTCAAAGCCCCTCTTCTCCAAGTTAAAGGGAAATGGTGGAGTGTAGGAAGCAAATTCCTTAAGGCATCTGGGCCAAATAAATTCACCTTTATCCAATGGGATGCTCCTCACATCCAGGAGCTCAACAGAGACCAAAGATGAAATGCTAAGAGGATCCTTTCACAGACTGGTGCTTATGATAAAACAAGGCAGTGGGGCGCAGGAGAGAGGGCAAGGAGCCTCTGACCCAGACAGTATTGAAGGAAAAGGATGGAAATGGGGGGCAAGATGGGGATGGAATGGGGACCATGGGGCACTCATCGAGTATTGAGCTCTCTAGGTGAAGCAGGAAGAACAGGAAGAGATTTAGAAAAGGTTGCAATACACCAAAACCTTTGGGGCTTTGGGGACTGTCTCCCTCCTCAAGCTGAGGATGTCTTTGCGCTTCCACTTTGTATCACTCAGGCCACAACCTTTTTTCTGCCCTGTCCCATCAAACCTCACCAACCCAGCATCCCAGTTCCTTGGGACTTCACATCTTTCCCAGTTCCAGGCAGGCTGTTCAGCTAAATTGTTCTGTGTTTCCAGGAGACCCAGACACACAGGCTCTCAGGATGGAACATGAGCAGATGTAGTATAAACCACCCCTGAAAGATTTAAGAGACTTCATCATTTTCCTCCAGCTCTCCTTTTTCCAGATCCACCCTCAGACTGTACCAGATAGTGACCCCCTCCTGCAGACTGGGTCCCAGAAGGAGAAGACACATGGAGCTGAGCCCATGTCCAGTCACCATAACCAACTCATAGCCAAAGACCGTACAATGAGAAGGAATAAATGTTTGTTGTCTCAGTCCACTGAGATTTGGGGATTGTTTGCTATCACAGCAAAAGCTGATTAATATCCATGCTAAGCAGGATGTCACTGGAGAGTAATGTGCCTAACTTTTAAAGTACTTTCACATTTCACTTTAGAAAGAGCTGGGAGTAACGGGAGCACCACGGGCTTTGGTATCAAGTAGACCTGCTGCTTCATGGACTGCTTCACCCTGGCAGGTTTGAAACAACCCCTCAAGAACATTTGTTTTTCCTGCAGTTCTTTCTCTCAGAGACAATTTTTCCCTTACACTCTACTCAGACTCCTGTTAACCAACTTGAACTCAAGAAGACTACTTGACCGCAATAGTTCAAAATACGTTATTATATTAAAATCCATGAGTTCATTATAATATTCAAAGAAAGGAAAGCCAAAAATAAACTTATTAGTCACCACTGAGATTGCTTGGGAACCAACTCTTTATTGGAAACTAATGGGAAAAATTAAATGCTTAAGTATTTCAATATGAACTGTATGAAACTGTTTTTCAGTAAAACAAATAGTTGACGAAGGAAAGTTCTTTACAGAAGAATTCTAGGTACTGAATATTTAATACATGATTATTTATCAATATTATGCAATCATAATTTTACAACCTCTAATAAAATAATGGTTTCAGGAAATAGTTATCAAGAAATTCTAAAACCATTTGGTAAGAGATTGGTGGGGACTTGGGTATTTGCAGCGTGACAAATTCTTACTCTCTGGGTTGGAGCCTAGTTTTAGAGAGGGAATACACTCTTACATGGAAGGGGTCAGACGATCCGTATCACCGTCTCTAAAAGTGGGACACCCAGACATGTGATGTATGTTGAAGTTCATAGAACATCTATGAAGGATTTTTGTTACGAAAGATGAACCTGTATCTAATCAACTCTTCAGATCTAACTTTAAACGTATAAGTAATACGGGGAATAGAGAACAAGTGGAATCCATTTGCTAGAGCCTGGTATTATTTTTCTGTATTAATTAATATTATGAAGTTTTATTTCTTTGTTTACTTTTGCTCTCCATCTGCCCTGGTGGAATATAAACTCCAACAGCACAGGGACCTCATCTAGCCAATCCACCACTCCATTCCCAGCGTCTGCTACTATGTTTGTCGCATATCAGGTGTTCAATACAAATCTGTTAAACTCACAAATGAATGAACAAATAATTTTAATCTTCTCAAACTTGTTCCCACATCTGTGAAGTGGAGATGACAATCCTTGCCTTAGTGGGTTCTTGCAAGGGTTAAATGAGGTACTAAACAGAGTGCCTGGCCAGGTTCATGGGGCGCTATAGATGTTCAATAAATGCCACCTACTTCTTTCACATACTTCATACATCTGATCCTCACAATAACAGTACGTCACTGGGTGGGAATTATTGTCCCCATTTGGCAGATGAGAAAAATGAAGCACAGAAAGATAGATCAGAAAGAGGATTCTCACCTTGACTTTCATCCGGACCGCACAGCCAACCATGCCCAGAAAAACCTGGCTTTTATTCAAAAACCTGCTATGATCCTCAGCCAAGTTTGCAAGCTTCATCACCCCCTCCTCCACCCCACTCTGGACCTGCTCATTCCTGGGGTGGGAGGTGCTGGGCCTGCTGACACCCAGCAGGCTGCTCCTCTGTATGAAGTTGGTGTCCCACGTTCCTGGGGCCCACCTGAGAGCCGCCTATCCTAAGCAGAGCAGGTCTGTTGTCCTGGTGCCAATATGCTGCTTTGCAAACATAGGAAACCATGTCCAGTGTGCTCTGGACCTTTTCAGGAAGGGCAGTGGTGGCGCAGCCCAGTTATCCCACCACATCAGACAATGCCCAGGAACCGGGCTGTGGAGCTGGCGCCCTCACACACAGTTTCAATGCTGAGCGACTAAGTCAACGTCTCACGCAGTTGTGCAGCTAATGATCCATCTAAGATGCCTTAATCTATACAGACAGAGGTCCCTTCACTTACATTGGATTCAGGGGGAATGAGTTAATGTTTGCTTGCTTTGATGCAGTCACTTTTTTTTTAATTGAAGTATAGCTATTTATAATGTGTCAATTTCTCATGTACAGCATAATGTCCCAGTCATGCATATATACATATATTCATTTTCATATTCTTTTTCATTAAAGGTTGTTACAAGATATTGAATATAGTTCCCTGTGCCATCCAGAACAAATTTGTTTTTAAGCTATTTTTATATATAGTGGCAAACCTTTGCAAACCTCAAACTCCCAAATTTATCCCTTCCCACCTCCTTTCCCCCAGAAAACATTAAATTGTTTACTATATTGTCGCAGTCACTTTTTATGCCGCAAATTCCAGGGATGATTTTCACTCCTAGTGTCTCCCTGACTCTTTGGTGCAACCATAGCCAATCAGCCTTGCAGTCACTGAAATTCTACATAATCCATCTTTCCCAAACAAATCTTACTTTTCTGTTCTCTCTGCACCTTACATTCCAGCCAGGCTGCTCCGCTCACTGTTTCCTAAACATTCTTTGGGTCGTTCCCTTTTCCAAACCCTTGCTCTCTTGGATAATACAGCACAGAGATGGTCCATGGTATGTATTTATTCACTTATAAACCCCACCTCAGACCTAAAGTTTTGATGAGGCTGATTTGCCGAAGAAGGCAATAAAATAAATGTGAGCAGAATTTTAAAGAGCATATTTTGTCAAAGGGAAGGGAAATGTTGGGATGTTTCCTTTTGTGGGTCTCATCTCCAAGTTTCAGAAAACGGGATCCATGAGGCTGAAGCTTTGGTCTCTACTATCAGGACGTGTCTGCCACCAGCCCTCAAGGTCTTTTGATCCTTCAGATGTGGTCTCTTTAAAATCAGCCACACCGGGTCATGCATTCCATGGAGTGTTAAAATATCGTATGTTGACTTGAAACACATAGACTGGCAGATATTTCTCCAGCAAAGATAGGTTTATTTGGGATCTGCAGGCAGGGAATTACAATCTGGGACAGGCCACATGCAAGTCCCGACCCAGCAAGGAAAGGAGAACGCTTTTAGAGAGGGGAAAGGAAGTGTGTGTGTGTGTGTGTGTGTGTGTAGCAGGGGTGTGGAGGGGGTTGGCCCTCGGAAACATGAGTCTGTGGGTCCCCAATGGCTGAGTCCTTCTTCTTCCTGTTGGGCCTTGCCATCATTTCAGGGTGTGAGAGCTTCCCCTTTCGGTCTCCCAACTCTGTTTAATTGAGCTTTCTCTTTATTGGGGTTTTTTTTTACACTTTAAAATAACTGTAGCTGCAGATACGTTCATAGCCGTGCTTGCTTCCTCTCTGCCCTGCCGTATAAGCCCTTCTCCCCACTTCCTTCACGTGAGCCCCCCTCCGCTGTGGGACCCAGCCCTCTCTCACAGTCTTACCACCTTTGTGAATGAATCTTCATGGGTCTTCCCCTCTAGGAAAGCAAACCAGCAACAACAAGCACAGATCTATTTGAGGCAATGGTTTGATACATTTTTTATGAACTACAGGTAGATAAAGTTTAATCTTGGCAATTAGAGATCAAAACAATAGGCAAGGGGGTACTTGAAGGTGGTTATGGCTTGGAAATGAAACCTTATCATTTAAAAGGATTCAAAGGATTATTTTAGGCTCTTCACTTCTACATGTAACTACAACATTGAAAGTTGGAGGGTCATCTTGTATCAAGAAATCCTAAAGCAAAAAGTCAAGGAACATGTAAGCAATGTGATAACTCGTCATATTTCTCAGGTTTATTAAAATTTAAGAATGCCAACTAGCACTTCTGAAACAAAAATTGAAACACCTGATTTGACAAGGATAAGTATGTATGCGAGGACAACAGGAACACAACACGGGAGGCTAATATCTGCCTTAGAAAAGCTGGGGTTTATGGTGACCAAATTCATAGGCAATATGTAAGAAAAACTGTTTGCAAATGCAACTTATGTAGTAAAAAGTTGTTGAATTCAGTTCAGCCTGTCAGTCGTTAAGCAGTTCCTGTGTACCTGCCGGGATGAAGAGAAGACATACAAGTCCACATAACTTACCATTTTAAAATCTAACAGCTGTGTGGTTTTATTTAGTCATGAAAAAGAAAGCATTATTAGCCAACACTTTGATTACATTAAAATAATTTTAAACAAAGACTTAAATCTTTGATTTTGTCGTCTATACCTGATACATATTTTTTCACATTAGTCCAGATTTTTTTAGCTCAAAACTACCAGGGAAGCAGTAGGATTTCGTTTAAATGCTGCCAAAAAGCAGGAATTCACTGAAGTTTTAATTCTTTTTTTTTTTATTTAGTGGTTTTTGTTTGTTTGGTTTTGGTTTGGTTTTGTTTTGGGGGGAAGGTAATTAGGTTTTTCAAAAATTTATTTTTAATGGAGGTACTGGGGATTGAACCCTGGACCTCATGCATGCTAGTCATGCACTCTACCACTGAGCTGTACCCTCCCCACTGAAGTTTTAATTCTGAAGTAATCCTGTTGTTAATGTTGTAGGTGAGGTTGGGGAGCATACATCTGATATTTCACATTTATTAATATGTTGACAATTTTAGGCAAATCCAGAACTAACGGTTAAATTCTTTCAATAGTTTCAGTAATTCCATGGATGGAGTAACATGTAAGTACATTAGCTCCTTTATAGTTCTATTTCCCCTCCATTCTTCCTTCTGCATAGTTACCAAAACGATCTTCCCAAAATACTAATTTGGTATTAATCTCCTATTTTAAACTCTTCCATGGTTCCCAATGATCTCCAAGTCCACTGTAAAACTTCAGTATGCAGGTTTCTTCACAATCTGCCTGCCACTTAACTTCCCTGTTTCATTGCCCTTCATTCCAACCCCTTGCAACAAAAAAAAATCTATTTTTCCAGCTCAAAAAAACTCATAATTCCTAAACATTTTATGTTGAGGTTATCAATTTACTCATATTACAATCTGTAGAGCAGTGGAAAATATAATTTCTTTACTTTGGCTTTTAACACTACATAGAGGAAAGAATATGTTTTAAATCTTCAGCTTGATTCAATCATTCTTAGATAATGGAGCTTTGGCTTTGATGACTCCAGTAGAGACATCCATCTTCCAGACATCTAAGTATGTGAGATTAGAGTCGGAGCTTCCACATTATCCGTTAGACAGACTTGCAATAAACTTACATGACTAGACAGTAAAAGTTCTGATGAACTTTTGATTAAGAAAATGGTTGAAAATTATAGATCAGATGACTTAACTGTGTCCTAAATAAATAGGAGTTTGTTTATTTTTACATGACAAAAAAAATCCAAAGTTAAGTAAGTGCTATTGTTACTTTATCTGCTCATAATGCAAATGAGAATGGTTTTACTCCACACCCTGAGCATATTGGCTTTGTCCTCAGATTTCTAGGTTCATGGACAAAGAAAGGAGGCTTTGGACATATGCTCACATTCAAAGAAAGAGGAGGTGCTCCCAGCCATATCCTTATTTTATCAAGGTAGGAAATCATTATACAAAAGCACCCCACCCCCGAATTCCACTTTATATCTCATGAATATTGGGTTAAATATTCACCCCAGTCTGAAAGGGAGGAATAGCTCACTTTTTCAGCCTCACTAATGACAAAGGAAAAGAGGGTTGGCGTTGGATGTTGGCGTCTTTCTCAGCGCTCTTTAGGAGTTGGGAAAAGTGACCGTTAGATCCATGAGGTCGCCTCACCAAAGCTCGTTATCTGCCTGATCTCTGCTGCCTTTATAAACTTTCCTGGAGGACTCAGGCTCCTCTGAACTCTGAGCACTCGCTGGACCCCAACCAGACACTGAGGTCTGACCGCATTATCCATTCAGTCCCTTCCCGGATGGCACAATCCAGTGCATTTGCTGGAACGTTCCTCGTTCCTGCTACAACAGCTTCCTCCATCCACATTACACAGGAATCAAGAATGTTCTGTAAAGAAGGATAACACAGCCCCTTCTACCTAATCACACTCTGCTACCATGTTTATTTGTAATATGGAAATGTCCCTCAATTGACCTGGAGACAGCCTTCAAGTTATCTCCTTCTAGAACAGAGCAAAAGCTCTCTGGAGCTTGGAGTTCCATACCTTCTCCAGTATTTCAAAGACATTCTCTCCCCACCAGCTCAGCCTTGAGTGCGTACTGGGGAGGAGGGGAAGGACCCTAGTATCTTCCAACCTTTGGCTTTGTTCTCAGTCTTCTGACTCTCAAATTGCCTCCTGGTAATCCAAAAAAATTAAGATAGCTTTTACTTTCCTCCAGGCCATACCTTTCATCTTCCAAACTCCATTCTCCTGGCTAACCTTAAATAAAGGTCACAGTCATCTCGTTTATATAATCAGAGAAACAATTACGGTAGCCATCAGGCTCAGTCCTAGATGTTAAATGAGAATTAAAATAATTTTAAAAGTCCATAGTCACTCAATCTATCGCCTGTTGGCAAAATCCTCTTTTGCATGTCTAAAGTTGAATATTAACTTTTTTTTGACCTTTTTCTGTAACAATCTAATTTTTCAAAACGCTACCCTGTTATGATTTCACATTCTTACCTCCAGTGTGTATTTAAGACATGCTATGTACACATGCTGTTGCCTTTGCTTCACTGGTATCGTTCTATACCTGGAGATAATCCTGGGCATCCTGAAAGACTCTCCTAAATGTCACCTCCTCCGTGAAACCATTAACAACTTAGAGGGATTTTTCTACTCTTGCTTAAAATTTCAAAGGTTTTTTTTTTATAAATAGTGTTATTTATAGTGCTTTCACATTATGAGTATTTGATTAATACTCTCTCCCTTTGAGGGAAATCTACAACTTATTTAAAATTTCTTTCCCTAAATCCATGTAGGGATTCATGAACCTGTGTTGAGTGAATGTCTGATAGCGCGCTTGCCACCTATTTTACTTTGAAGTACTGGGACAATCCAGACAGCAGGTAGATCATCACTATTCTACTAAATGCTTTGGCAGAACAGTCCAGAACCACTCGTGCCAAGCACTGGTATTTTCCAGAGTAGTCTGTGGAATAACCTTTGGATGCAAGCTTCATTTTAACATACCCACCCATAATATTGTCGGATGAGAAAAGGAAGATTCGGAGATTGTTTTATTTTCCTTAGTGGTTAAGAGTATTTGAAATAATATTTGATTTGATTTAACTGAGTTTGAATTTCTAAACTTCTAAAAATCCTACTGTCTCAGAAGTTGAGACCTATCCATTCACATTATAGCCGGCCCTGAATAAAATGCTTAAACCACCACAAAGTTCAGTTTAAAAAATTATATATGTGTATATCTAAATTATTACATATTATCAAAATTTTATATATGCATATTATATATATACACACACACATATATATATATATACACATACACACTCACACACACAAATCTCTAAACAGTTAAAACAGTAGTGCAAGGTGTTGTTACACTTTAATTTTTGTTTCTAGAAAGGAAGCTTCAAAGCATTATTATTAATCCTAAAGAATATTCATTTATCTCTTGTTTGAAAACCTAGTCTACCTCATTTTTTTGCAAAGGGCCTGCTTGCAAAAGCACACTTAGATGGTCTGCCTGCTTGTTAACCTGGTGTTGTCTTCAATTCTCCTTGGAACAATCTCCCAGCTGTAGTTAAGCAGTTAGCCTAGAAGCTCACAGCCCATGAGACTTTCTCCATGATTCCCAAGCTCACCATCGGGGAAGTTGCAGCGTTCTCACAGAAAAAGCCAGAAGTTGCTTGGAGAGTTCCAGGATAAGTCATATTTTCCATTTTTATTTTAATTTCTTTCTGATCCAGAGCCTTAGATCAAGACTAATTTCTTTGAAGCCCGTGGTTTTGAGATATTAAATCCCACCACAGCAGTAGTATCTGACAGTCTTAAAAAGCTCCTATGGTGCATACATTTTCACCAAACACTTTAAATATTTTATGGCTCTTAATGTTACACTAGATTTGAGTCGAGGAGCCGTGGGACACATTTAAAAAGTCAAAGGATAGAGAAATATATATAATGGAAAAGTGATAGTCCCCCTTTGTGTTCCAGTATGTGCCGCAAATCCCCTTCGCCTGGACGGAAGTAACCGTGATACATTGTCTTCCTATGCTTTTCCTGTGCAAGTCACAAATGTGTATTTCATGTGGATGCAGATTTTTCACACTTTGGATGATAGGAAGGATGAAGCTCATTATATCGGGGTCAACATCTGGCTTCTATTACATGTTAGATACGGCAGAAAATGAAAGATCACAAAAGCAGACTGCACTCTTATCTCAGTCCCAGTTTCTTCCTCTGATCATATACGCGCTCAGAAACACACACGCACACACAGGCATTCTTACTTAAGTGGTGTCGTAATACGCACAGTGTTCTGTTTCACGTTTATCTGACTACTTCCTACTAATCTTTCCATGTCAGATCATGTGACCATCCCTCATCTTTCTTCCTGAGGATCTCATAGCATGGATTTTCCCATAATTTATGTAATCTTTTCTGTATTGACCAATACTTGGGCTGTTTACAGTTCTTCCTATTATAAAAAAAAAATCTCTGAAATTCTTATCTCTTCACATGTGCACACATTTCTGGAAGGCAGGTTTCAAGAAAGTAAAACTCAAAGGTGATGCGTTTTTGTTTTCGATAATAACTCCCAAGTAGCTTCAAAAAGACTGGCGTCATTACACTCCACACTCTGTAAAAGTCCAAGAGTCCTCACCCTCTCATCAACACTGGATAATAAAGGAGAAAGCTATATATTATATATGTATGAAAAAATAAATTATGAAAATGTACACTGGTGTTTCTATCTCTAATCAGAGAAGAAAGATTTTCAAAGCCTATTTGTTTCTTAAATGTTAAAACCGCACGTAAACTTTAACACCAGCAACAATTTCCCTATTAAATGAAGTCATAACTGGGTTAGTTATATGAAAGGTCCTCTAACAAAGGGGATTCAAAATTCAGTGGCCCATGGAATATAGAAATTTCTTCTTTCTCATGGAACAGCACTGAAATGAGCAGTTCAGATGGATAGGACAGCTACATGCAGTCATTCAGAGACCCCGGTTCCTGCCACATTATTGCTCTTCCATTCTCTGGACCACAAAAGAAGTTAGACACCTTCCATATCCAGAAAGAGTCTGGAAGAATTTTGCCCAATGTTTTAATTTCCAGACCCAGGCACATCACTTCTACTCACATTCTGTTAACAAGAACTTGGCCATCTAACTGCAAGGGATGCTGGGAAATGTGGTCTAGTGAAGAGCCTTGGACTCGACCACAACCCTATTTACCTGACAGAAGTGGAGAACAGATTTGGTGGGATGATCAGTCTCACCACATTTATTAAACCCTCAGATATCATAGAAGTGATCTGAGTAATTAAAATAAATAAAGGAGATGGCATTTCCTAAAGTCAAATCCAGGAGAAGATAGAATTGTTACATTCAAAAGGCAATGTTTTTACACACATGTAGCTTAAATTACAGACATGTTCTCCCAATGAGTTTTGTTTGTTTGTTTAAATATTTACTACTATTTGGCCCGTCTTACACCATCTAAAGTAACTAGTCATTTCTCCTTCTCTGCAAAAATGTCCCATAAATATTGCAATGACTTAGAATGAAGTCCCAAGACACCCCACTTGTCACACTTTTTTCTTCAATTTGTGGCAGTTTCATTTCACGACTGTTCAAAAGGCTAAACAAAAACAAATTTCTAATCATTCAACATTTTGAAAGCATACACTGGTAAGCCTAAAAAGAATTTGGTGTCTAGCACAAAAGTCCCCAAATGTGTGTTCTACAGCAGGAAGTCAATTCCAGAACTGGGCCTGCGAGAGAGGAAGCTGTAATCCGCTCTGGTTGGACTTAAGCCTGCACTGGGAGACATGCCTCACTCCTGTCTCGCTGGCACGTTGAACACATTTCACTGAAGACGTACAAAAGGCCCTTTATTGTTTTCTGGAAGATGATAAGACCAGCTGAATAGTTTAATGCCTTTTTTGGCAGTGAGAGATGGAGTCAGGGAACTTTGGCAACTCAAAGGGAGCAATAAAATGGCCATGTGAAAAGGGCACTTTGGAAATATAGTAATGACAGCAATATAAGATGCATAAATGTGATCAAGATTTACTGCTTGGAGATGTTAGCAGAGCTTCTGATGTACTGTCACTCTCTCCCGAGCCTGGCAGCTTGCTATTAGAGGAGGAAGGAGTCACAATTAAGTACCAATAAAGGTAACTTCAGGACTTCAGCCTGCAGCCCGCTTCATCCTGACCTCATAAACAAGGTATTCTGTGGAATGTATGCACAAGCCAAGGACTGTATAAAAGGTGATACAATGACTAAGTTCTCAACATAAAACAGAGGAGTAGGTAGTTTACCATTAACTTTACCAGATGGCTTCTTTAAGCACCGTCGTAAATAATAAGTCAATGTTACGTGAAAAGAATCAAAGGAAGAGAATGAATGGACAACTACTTCCCAGCATGTCCATTTTACAAGACTTATAGTGTTTTCAAGAAACTTGGCTCCTTTTTCTGGAGATGCTCACCCCTCCATCCTCTGCCCCTTTGAGATGACACTGATTCCTCTCCTTCACGTTCATTAACATCCCACATGCCCACATTTGTTACCTAAAGATATATTTCACTCCTGTGTTTAGCCTGGTACGTTTTCCTTTCCAGAAATGTGTCTCTGGGACTTCCCTTCTTTAGCAATCATTCTCTTTGCAATTGAATGTCACTCACCCGTGACAAGGACTCATTAGCTGCTTAATGAGAAGCACGATATAGAAGGCAAACTGTGCCCGGGCCAGCTGTCTGCTCATGAGCCTGGCTTCAATTTTCTCGCCATCCCAGCAGCCATGTTTCTCCGGGAGGCTGATATTAGGGTTCAGAGTGGTTAATTTGTTTGATGGCTTTCTTTTTTTTTCATCAAAATGTAGAGTGAGTTACAATGTGTCAATTTCTGGTGTACAGTACAATGTCCCAATCATGCATATAAATACAGATATTTGTTTTCATATTCATTTTCATGTTTATTTAAAGATAATAAAAGATATTGAATATAGCTCCCTGTGCTACACAGAAGAAATTTGGTTTTTTAATCTATTTTTATATATAGAGGCTGACACTTGCAAATCTGAAACTCTCAAATTTATCCCTTCCCACCTGCTTTCCCCTAGTAAGATTGTTTACTATGTCTGTGAGTCTGTTTCTGTGTTTGATGGTTTTTTAATAGGGAGATGTTTCCACGAGAGTCGGGATTGAGATGGCCGATCTCCTGCACATGTGTGACCCAGGCCAAATTCCAGTCCAGAGGGCTAGTGATGAAAGACAACACGTGAACCTCTGCTGACACCTGTTCATCTGACACACCTTTTCCTGAATTCAAAAGGTCTATTTCTCTGGCAATATTTATGGCACTGAAAATAAAGGTCACTCCATTCTGGTCTTTCACTTCACTTGATGATTAAAACTGACACTTGAAATAATGAAACCACTTTCAAAGGCACAGAGTAAACACACTAAGATGTGTCCTTCCTGCCATGAGAGAAGTAAAGGAAATGTACATATCACGTCCTGAAAGATAAATCTTCACTTGATTTTAAATGGGAACTTTATTCAAATTTCCCAAATGACAGTTTCTTTGGAATCTCTTCAATTAGGACCTCGTAACCCAACTGAACATATTGCCTTATTCTATTATGCTGTGTCCTCTTGACTGTCAAATTCTGGAGAGCTCAAAACAAGCACACAAATAAAACTGAAAGAGGTTAATATCACAAGAGCACTTGCCACTTACTAAGAGCCTCCGTGAGCTGATTCGCAGAGACAAGTTAATGATCAAATTAATAAAAATGATTTTTGTGAATTGTTTTACCTGACTCTCTAGATTTAATTTTTTTCACTTAAAAGAAAAACTAATCACGCAGAAAAGGAATTTGTCATTTTGAAATAAAAGTAGTAACTTGGACTTGGGTTTATTTTGTTTTTCTCAATGCTTTTGCAATAGTCACTCACCTGTTGTCTTATGTCTTTTCCCATCAATCTACTGAAATTGCTGTCAACATGTTTGTTAATGAGTTCTTTGCTATTAAACCCAAGTGGCACTTCTCAGCCCTTAGCCTACTTTACCTCTTACTCACACAGCAAGTAATGTTTACCAAATATTTACTAAGTGTCAGTCACTGCCTTAAATGCCGGGCATAGATGTTTTAGGAGAGTTTATTATGGAATAGAGGAGTTGAATGTTAGTTACAGAAGTAAGTATTAAGTTGCAGTTGACTAACGATAAAAAGAACAAATACAGTATGTGGTAAGAGAGTATAGTTGGAAAATATAATGTAGTCAGGGATGTCAGCAAAATTTCCCTGAGGAAATGACTTCTGAGAAGAAATGTAAACCTTACTGACTCAAAAATAGCAGTGTACAAGTCAGTAGTTTACTCACCTTCCATTCAGTCAATGAAAAACATCAACTAACCAAAGTATTCACAGATACCACACAATCAGTGTCTAGAGACCACACAGCATTGCGCAATAGGTCTTAGCCAGGCTCACTTCAACTGATAAAATGAGGCTAGAATGGAACACAGTGCCTGATACATTGCAGGCTAGTGGGTAGGCAGGGGCTGACTGCTTACGATGACTTGACTAGCACAACTGGGATAACCAACGCTTACGTCCACTTCAGCATTCTTTGGCATGCCAGCTCAGACCTATTCATTTGGCAGGCTCAAGGTTTCAAGAAAGAGAATGGAAGCCTGCAAAATCCTCTTGCTTTGAAAACAACAATGCTATGCTTGTCTCATTTGATTTTTCAAACCAATAGAAGGAGGTTCCCACTTATAACACTATCTCTTTTCCACTTACAACACACAGTACTGTTGAAACCAAGCAGGACCCTGTGGGGCTTTCCTGGGTACAAAAGACTTTCTGTGTCCCCCACCTCATGTTCCCTCCTTCTTGTTTGTAGGGAAAAGGCTTCAGCCTCTTAGACCTTCCCTGAGTTCCAAAGGGCAAATTCAAATAGGTACTAATTAGGCAAGTGAGAGGGCGAAGAAACAAAGGAAAGACAGTCAAGAAACAATCGTGCGACAATAAAACAGAGCCCTAGCTTATCCTCAGGGAGTACAGACAACAATCTGATGCATATCTCTGAGTTCTACTAGAACTAAGGCCCGAACCCAGATGGAGGATGGTAACACAAGCACTTGGACCCCAGACTGGTTGGAGCCAAAAGGCTGATGACTGAGATTCCTGGAACACAGCCTTGTTACCTCCCCACCAACCAATCAGAAGAAAGTCACAGACCTTGCAATGCTCACCCAAAAATTTGCCTATAAAAACTCTTCCCTGGAAACCGCGGGGGAGTTTGAGTCTTTTGAGCACAAGCTGCCTGTTTTGCTTGCTTGGCCCCACAAAAAACCTTTCTCCAGTGTTTCAGTTTGTTTGGTCTCACTGTGAGCTGGGCACATGAACTTGGGTTCAATAATACTGTGGACATTAAGAAAAGAAAAAGCACTGGAATGTACTGGGAAAATGAACTACTGAGATGGCAGTTGTAAGACCTTTGCAGAAGATCATGTTGAAGTGATCAGATTTTTTAGGTTTCCTTGTCATCACCTGCTGTGGTAACTAGGTGTCCAGAGCTGTCTTGCCTTCTTAGGAATAACATAAACTATCTCCATATAGGCTATTTTTAATTCCTTCCATTTCGTACTCTTTTGAAACGACTTTTATTTTCAGACACTCCAGATGTAATCCCTTCACCGACCACAAAGTGGTTTGTTCTGAAAAATGCTGTAAAGAGCAAATTCTTTGCATCCATATTTCCTCAGTTGACATGATCAAGCTGTTACGATTTCTCAGTGACATGTGGCAGTTGCATCTGTAACAAGTCATAACCAGAGGAAACTCTGGCAGCTCAGTGGTTGCACAATTTAAACTGAACCATTGGACAAGTAATGTATTTTGGTCTTGAATTCCAGTGTGGCCTCAAGAATGTTACAATCTCTTTTTCCAAAGTTGTGGTGTGCATATACTTCAGTTAATTCTCTTACACAAGGCTTAGTCATTATCCCCTGTATACTTGGAGAATGTTTTGTGTGTGGCAAATTAATGTAAACTCATCTCTGTTTGGCTTCTTCCAAGCTGTAATTCATTAAATTCTCTATCAGTGAGTTGTCCCACTCTTTCAGTCTGGGAAAAGTCTTTTCCAGACAGTCATCTGTAATTTTGGACATTCCTCTTCTTTGCACAAGTATGATTTAATTAGTCATAAAACACCACAGGGAGTCCGTCCGGGCTCACTTGGAAGCTTCAAAACCAGGAAGACAAGGACAAGTTTTTTTTTTAATTCCTTTCCACCCCTCCCCCCACTCCAGAGCCCGTGGCTCTCCATGCTAGGAACCTAACAATAACATCAACTCCTGAATCCTCCTGTCAACCTAAGAAATGCCCCTAAATACACCTGTTCCTAAAAATCCTAATTGCTTCCAATAGCCCAGGATCTTTATTGGACTTAGTAGAAATAATGTCAACTGAAGATACTTCCCTGTCTCAGGAAGGAGACTGATGGGGGACACATCACAATAGAGCTTCCACAGCACAGTAGGTTTCCAGAGCAAACCTTTCATACCAGCAGTCAGGAAAAAGAGATGCTCAATACTTAGAATATGATATTCAGGTACATACGACCAAGACTTAGAGCTCATAGTTCTGTCTCTTTTTCTCACTGACTTGCTGGTCTCATGTAAATCTCTCCGTCCCTCAGGGGCTTACATCTCTAAGATCTTTTCAGATCTCAAGGTCTATGATTCTAATGATATAAAAATTCAAGGGGTAGAATAATACAATTCAAGGAGATGATTTAATTTTTATAATTTATTTTATTTCAAAAATTGTGGTGAAAAAATACATAAAATTTTACCACTTGAATCTGGTTTTTTGTTTTGGTTTGGAGGGGAGGTAATTAGGTTTATTTATTTCTTACTTATTATTATTATTATAATTTTTCATTTAACAGTGGTCCTGAGGATTGAATCCAGGACCTGGTACATGCTAAGTATGAACACTATCACTGAGCTATCCCTTCCCCCCACCACTTGAATCATTTTAAGTGAACATTTCAGTGGTTTTAAGTACATCTACATCATGAACCATCACCATCAGCCATCTCCAGAAGTTTTTTCATCTTCCCAAACTAAAATTCTGTGCTCATTAAACAATAATTCTCCATTTCCCCCTGCTCCCAGCCCCTTGCCACCACGATTCTACTTTCTATCCCCATGATTTTGACTACTCCAGGTATTTCATATATGCAAAATAATACAGTATTTGTCTTTTTTGTGACTGGTTTATTTTATAAGCATAGTATCCTCAAGGGTCATTCATGCTGCAGCATGGATCAGAAATCCCTTCCTCTTTAAAGCTGAATAGTATTTTATTTTATATAAATACCAGTTATCTGTTGATGGAAATGTGGGTTGTGAGGAAATTTATTTTTTAAATTATCTGCTATTGTGTTCATTTCCTTCCAGATCAGGCTCTTAGCTACATGTCAAAATCACCTAGGAGTTTTGAAAAATACAGATTACTGGGCTTAACCGTAGATTTGCTAAATCAGAGTTTCCATCTTGGGGCCTAGGAATATGTATTTTAAGAAAACCAAAGGCCTCGTTTCTTACCAAAAAGTAATTGTGCATCTGTCCTTTCCTAAGAAAAAATCGGGGGGTGATCTGTGTACCAGTCTAAATACCACATCCAACATACTCCTGGCTAGTTGTAGTTACAACTTAAAGACAAAACAAGTCAAGAAGAAATGGACATGTGTGGAGGGAGTATGTGAGTCAGTAGTTCCTCTGCCCTGAGGTGAAAGCATTGGAACTGGGGCAGAAACAGGAAAACCCTGACAGCAGTGCATCCTGGGAGACTGTGGCCTTCAGTCCACTTTTTTGGTTCCCTGATTTAAGGATCAAATCATGAGAGTAATATAGAATTACACTTCAGTACATCAAACCAGCTCTGTATGGATGCTGATCAGATACCAAAAACCTTCCAGTAGGTAAGGATCCTAGAAAGAAATTCTTTGATAAAAATAAGTGTAGAGTTAGCATAGCCAAATAAAAGTCACACATACTATCTATTGATAATCTCCATTTTGCAAAAACCATTATATTTTAAAGAATGAGTAAAGAGACAAAAATTAACATGGAACTTAGAAACATGACAACACAAGAGAAAGAGAACAGCATCCCAAGGCTCAGATGATAGAGAAAATTAGAGAAAGATGGCCATTCTCAAAAGGATGTCAAAGATAAGACTTTTATAAGAGAAGGAAAAAAAATGCATAATGAACAAACAGGCTATAAATGTTAAGATAATGCTTACTGATGTGACAAACAAACTCCTACATTTCAGTAGGATGACAAATAAAAGTTTATTGTTCTAGTATGTGAAATCCAAAACAGATGTTCCTGTAATAACCTTTAATGAAAAAGAATATGAAAAGGAATATATGTATATATATATGCATGACTGGGACATTATGCTGTACACCCGAAATTGACACATTATAATTGACTATACTTCAAATTTAAAAAAAATTAGTTGTTCGTAAGAAAATATATTTGAAAAATACTATCTTAAGTGCAAAATAAAAGATAGGCAGGAAGAAAACTACTAATCTATTTTGTGAAAGCAGATCTAATGATCCTGAAACATTAGTCAGACTTTTAGAAATTTTAAGAGCACAAAAAATGAAAAAAATAACATTTTGAGACAATCTAATAAAAATGAAACCTAAGAGTCTCAAAAAACAAACAAACAAAAAAACAACAATAAAAAAAAAAAACAGATGTTCCTGATTCACAGATGGCTCTCCTCCAATTGGCAATTCAGGGAACGAGGCTCTTTCTACCATATAGCTCCATCATCTTTGACATATGGCTTTTAAAAGGTGCCATGGATTGTGAAATAGCTGGGAGATTGCATGGGGGGATTTTTATGGGCCAGCTGTGGAAGTAATTTGTATCAGTTCTTCATCTATTCCGTTGGCAAAATGTGATCACATGAACACACCTAACTTCAAGAGGGGCTGAGAAATGCTGTAGTGGGTGTGCAAGAGAAAGGAGAAGCAGGGTTGGGGAACAGCTGGTCAGTCTCCAGCACCCTGACTATAAAAGGCCTGCAGAATGAGATGTACATACATTAACCTGAGAAGAAGAGCGGGCTGGATGAGATTAGGTGAAAATAAAAGAGCAATAACAGAAATAAAATCCTATGCAGGAAGCAAAGAGCGTAACTGAAATGGCAGGATAGGGAACACATTTATGAAGCCCTCCCAGAGCACAGAAGAAAAAGATCTGAAAATAATAAAAGAATATGATGGATATGGAGAGCAGAGAAGTGAGAACAGAGATTTTTAATTTCAGTCATGGAGAAGCTCTAACAGAAGAAACTGGAACAAAGAATAGACAAAGAAGAGAAGTAACGAAGACATAGCTGAAGAAAAAAATTTAAAACAAGAGATCCAAATATGCAAACATGTATATCCAACCATGGTTCAGTTAAGTGTACTGAAAAGATAACCAAGCAAAACACATTGTGGAAGAATTTTGGAATTAGAAGGATAAGAAAAAAGAACTCCAACAAGAATACGTGCAAGCAAACAAGTCAACAATAGATTATAAACAAAACAACAAAATCAGACGGGTAATTATTTTTCTCTGTTACTTGAGATGCCAGTATACAATGCTGCAACATCTTTTGATTCTGGGGGAAGGAGTTTTGATGAAAAAAAATTTATATGAAGAGTCAATGTATCACTTAATATCAAAACAACAGAATAAAAGTCTCAGAAAAGCTAGAATTCAGAAATATTTGACTCAAGTAATCTTTTAAAAAAAGACATAATGAAAAATTTTTTTCCTAAATAGCATAGTCTAAATGGAAGCAAATCAAATTAAATGTGTCAAGAATGGGAGGTTTTATGGTAAAAAAAAAAATAGTATTGGAAGTTAAACCTACTAACTAAAACATTCAAACACATGAAACATAGCTGAGAGTTTTTAAAATATGTGTTTATAGAATGGAATGCAAATGTCCAAAATAATAATTAAAAGGAAATATATAATATAAAACAATGTAGTTATACTAATCTGGCTTACATTACCAGAAACTAGGAAGTGATTATTGAGATGAGAGATGGGTCAGGGAAAGAGCAAAAATATACAGTCTTCAAAGTACATCTTTCTGTCTTGATGCTAAAAAGGATGTTCCAGAACTATAGGTTAAAAGATGCTTTTAAAGTTTAAAGTTAATGACAAGTATGGTTTCAAACTGGGTAAGAATTCTGACTAAAAGAGAATCTGGGTGGTGATCCCCAATCATCCTCTTTTAACTTCTCACTAAATAGCTACTGAAAACAAAAATAGATGAAAATTGTCAATAACAATGAAAGCAAAGACTGGAGGACCTTTAGAATCTGGGAGGAATTAGCACTAGCTAAGAGACAGTTGGTAGAGCTGTAGATTCTGACACACTCTAACTTTGCTTCAAAATTCCTAAGAATGAGTCTCCTGCCTCTGCCACCATCCATCCATGTACTCAGAGTCCCAGGACCTAGAACAAGCAGGACAGTGCAGATCTTTCTTTCTATCCATTGGGAGATCTCTTTAAAGCAGATTATCCTCTGCCTAACTCCAGATACTGCAAACTCCTGGAAGACAATCAGGCACAAAATAAAAGACAATTTCTGCGTGCAATGTGTTTTCTGAGCCAAGTAGTCCTGATAGACAAAGTACTCGGGTAGGAAAGAACAGAGCTGCAGTGCATGCCTATAATATAATTTTTCAGACAATCGTTATCAGTTCAAATGAACAAGAAATTAGTGGGGACAGAAGGAAGAAAGAAAACAAAACAGAAAACCTACCTAGAACAAAGCAGCGATATACTCCAGAAAAACAAGCAATATAGAAACTGGGACAAATTCAGGAGTCATGGAGATTAACCTGCTATAAAGCTAGGCTTGAACAATGATGGGAAGAGTGAGATGACTCCATAACCCAGCTGGTTCCACCAAGTCATAAAATATGGAAGGAGGGAAACTAAGAAGAATGTAACAACAAAAAGCCTATTAAAAAGTACTGCATTGTACATATACAAACTACATTTTATATACATACAATGGAATACGACTCAGCCATAAAAAGAAATAAAATAATGCCATTTGCAGTGACATGGATGGAGCTAGAAATGATCATACTAAGTGAAGTAAGTCAGACACAGAAAGACAAATATCACATGATATCACTTACATGTGGAATCTTTAAACGTGACACAAATGAACTTACTTACAAAACAGAAAGAGGCTCATAGACACAGAAAACAAATTTATGGTTACTGGTGGGGAAAAGGAGAGGGAAGGATAAATTGGGGGTTTGGGGTTGGCAGATACAGACTACTATGTACAGAATAGATAAAGATACTGTATAGCACAGGGAACTATATTCAATAGCTTGTAATAACTTACAATGTAAAGGAATACGAAAAAGAATATATATATATATGTATAACTGAATCACTATGCTTTACATCAGAAACTAACACAACATTGTAAATCAACTATACTTCAATTTAAAATGTTTTTTTAAAAGTATTGCTGAAGAAAAAGAATACAGACATGGCTGGGATTTCAAGGTAGATTGAAAACATAATTACCTCTGCTTTCTCTTGACATCTAGTCAAATTATTTAAAGGAATTTGAAACACACACACGCACACACACACACACTCACATACACTCACACACACACCACACACACACACACACACACACACAACATTAACTTAAATCAAGAAGACAAAGGGAAAAAGAGAAGATAAGTGTAGACAAGAGATAGGACCAAAAGTTTGAAAACTGGAAAGCAGAGAGAAAAGAAAGAGCTGACGCTGCTAGTGTGCTGACGGTTGGGAGCAGGTAAATTATACAAGCCCAGCTGGTACCACAGGAACCAGAAAAGCCTTCGGGCTTTTATAGGTTAGAATTAAGAGCAGAAGTGTTGCTTAAAAATATATGAAGGAAGCAGATCAACCCTGAACCCTGTGAAGCCTGGCAAATAGTCACCTATCTCTGGCCAAGGTAAACTTTTTGGACAGACTGAACCAGAAATTCTAGAATTGGGAATTCTGGGCACAGCTAAGAGTGGAGGTGGAGTTCTGTAATGCAAGAGGTGGAAGATCAAACCAAGAGGTCCAACACACACAACTGTGACCCTCAGGCCCCCTTCCTCCCACTTGGCTCTAAAACGCGGCAGCCTCACCCGCCCAAGAGACAAGGCGTACAGGAACTGATAGTTGAGAATCCTCCCGGAAAAATATCTGAATCTCTGTCCACTCAAACTTTAGCAAAGCTGTTACTTGAAAAGCCTCTCTCACACCAAACACAGCAATAGTCAGCTTTAAGTGGCCTAAGATCATTGGCCGTTGAAGAGAATCCCAAACACTGAGACTAAAACACACTAACAGAGACAGAGGAACTCACAGGAGGCAGAGGCAACACAGGGAGCAGAAGGAAATTTTTCTGAAAAAAGAAAAGTTAATTTCCTCAAAAAAGGTGAGAGAAATACTGAATCCAAAAAGAAAAAGAAAACAGAATTCTATTTTAAAAAGACATGTTAGGGGAACACAAAGAAGCTTTTGGCTATTAAGGATTTGGCAAGTTCCCAATTCAATTAAAATGTCAAAAAAGAAAGTTGAGAAAATCTGCCAGAAAGTAGAACAAAAGGACAAAAGATGGAAAATAGTAGGGAAAACAAGAATATTAGAGATACAAACTAGGATGGTCAATATCCAAGTAATGGAAGGACAAGAAAGATTAGAGAAAATGCAAAAGAGAAAAATATCAAATTGAAATGTAAGTTTCTAGAACCAGACAGCATGATCTGCCAGATTGAAGATCTCCTTCCCACAACGTAATGAACAGACACTTCCCAAATTATTGGCAGTGACATTCAAGAACCTCAAGATACAGATCCTAACAGCCTCTCAAGTTGGGGGAATGAAATCAGTGTGCAAAGCAAATGAATGCACAGGATTTCTCAAAAGTGACACTAGACACCACAAGTAAATAGAGTGAGGACGTCAAGATACAAAAGAAAAATATTTAGAAATTACAATTCTATATCCTGCCAAAGGAGCAAAAAAGTGTGAGGGTAGAATTAAAAAAAAAATTTCTTAAACCTGCAAGTTCTTAAAATTTAACTTCACTTATACCCTTTCTCAGACGATCCTGAGAAAATAAGCTTTACTGAAGCAAGGGAGGAAACCAAGAAAGAGGAACACAGGAGTGCTGGAAAGAAGGGGTTCAACATGGGAAAGAAGTGAATTCTGAGGAAGGGGATGACGATGGTGATGACTGTGAAGGGGAATTCAACACAGTCAGGAAGTAAAATCTCACGGTGAGAGCTGTCCTGCTGGTCTAGAGAGCACCACGGTCCCAATCAAAATAGGAAGGGCTCCAGAAAGGACATCTCCAGGAGGAAGATGAGATGGATAAATGGAGAGGAGGTTAATCTCCCATGGGCAAGTTTAGGTATGAATTATTGATAGAGATATCAAAAATCAATCAAATAATACATAGGTGATAGGGAGAGCAAAACAGTTGTATTTGTGCTACCTTACACAGCAAACGAGGGAAATATACCTAGTTATAATAATATAAAGATTAAATACTGGTTGATAGAAAAACTATGAAAATACTCTTTTGGGATATTGGGGGAGGGGTGTATTAGAGAGATCATACTAAAGAGATAATCTTTATATTCCATAGCATGCTAGTAAATACAAAACAATAAATTCAAGAGAGAGCAATATAAGCATGTTATTATATAAACCAAGAAGGTAATTATCAGAAGAAACTAAATGAACAAGTTCAGAAGGGTTGTCCTTGGATGGCGGGAATTAAATGGTTAGAGTTAAGCCAAGATGAGGCAGAGAACTGCTTTTCTTTGCTGTAAACTTATTATAGGTTATCTATCATTTTAACTGGAATATTAAATATAATTTAATAAGAAAAAGGATGTCATTGTATGAGAAAATATCTGAGTGACACAGGGGAAGAGTCTATCTCTGAAAATGATCTACTACAGGATCCAAAAGAACTTTCCAGAAAAATGCTCAGCCTTCTCAATTAAGAACAAGATGAAACCTCTGTAAACAAGAATCCAAAAATCACAAGGAAAAAACAAGTTAGAAAAGACAACTTGAAATTGGAAACGGACTGAAACAGAGCTAACAACATGATAGCAGAATGAAAATCAACACTGGACCCTGTAAGGAACCTGAGAACTATTGCAGGAAATGGAAACAATATTATGGAAGACAAACTTAACCAACCATCCAAGAAGACGGAGGAAAGGGACAATGGGATGGAAATGATGAAAGGATCATGGAGACTGAGGACCCATACAAGACACAGTGTTCATAAAGAAAAGCTGCGAATAACAAAATCATAATAATCAGAGCCTGAATGTTTATTTCCCCCTAAAGTTCGTATGCTGAAACCAAACCCCCAAGGTGTGGGTCTTTGGGAAGTGGTTAGGATTAGCACGATTAGTGCCCTTATAAAAGAGCCCAGGAGAACTCTCTCTTTTGTTTTAATTAATTAATTATTTGGGGGAGGGGGATAAATAGATTCATTTATTTATCTTTCTCAGTGTAAGTACTGGGAATTAAAACCAGGACCTCACGCATGCTAGGCATGCACTCTACCACTGAGCTGTACCCTCCCCACCAGAAGCAATCTCTTGACCCTTCTGCTGTGTGAGATTATAGAGAAGCAACAGCTATGAACTAGAAAGACATTTATCTTTACCAGAAGCCAAATCTTTCAGTACCTTGATCTTGGATTTCCCAGCCTCAGAACTGTTGTTAGAGCAGGCAGAGAGCTAGATATGAGCAGAGAAACTGGGACATGGACCAAATGGCAGGAATTGGGCAAAAAGGAGGCACACGGGCCAAAAGGCAGGAATCCATACATCATGTGAACAATAGGAGTCCTTGGGCAGACGGACAAAACAAAAACCACCAGAGATCACACATTTTGGGGTGACAAATGGCCTGGAGGCTGACAAAGAAAGGTGGGAAAAGGCAGGAATCTCCAGTGTCCAAATGTAACCTTTCACTCATTATGCCCTCATTTGAATAAAATGAGCCTTGCAGACTAGATGTAGCCATCATGCACAGACATCATGACACTTCTTATCCAGACTAAATAAGGACAAAAATCCCTCCTACCCTCAGAAAGGTGGAAGTGGGATGGAAATCAGGGAATATGACCCCAAACCCTTCTCTCCCCAGTGAATATTCTGCCCATTCATTTTTACATTCCATGTAACTAACTTACCAAAGAAACCCAGGGCAGCTTGCTTGCTCTCCCCTTGAGAGCGTACTATTGACCGCTTAATAAATCCCCACTTTACTTTCTTAACCTCCGTGTCTTGTCTCTGAATTCTTTCTGTGATGAGACAAGAACCTAATTGTCAGCAATACTGTGAGAAATAAATTTCTGCTGTTTATAAGCCACTCAGTCTATGATATTTTGTTATAGCAGCCTGGACAGACTAATACAGAGCCCTAATAGAACAAAACATTCTGAGCCACAGGAAACGACTTCTGTATGTATATTAAAAGGCTCACTCCATTCTGGAAATTTATCAATTAAAAAAAAGCACACTTGAAAAAGTTTTACCAACAAAAGGATGAAGAAAATAAGACCCTACAAATAATAAGGAAGAAAATGTATGTTCCCTTAAAAAAAAAATGATGTTCAAGGATAATAGACAATAAAGCAACGTCCAGAGAATATTCACAGAATTAGGATGTCACTCTCCAATTTTACACCTTGCCAATTTGTAGTTCTTATGTTAAGGCAGATGAAGACATTCTCATTTATTATACCAGTGCCCATAAAACATCGCCTTATCAGTTTCCTAGGACTTCTGTAACAAATTGCTATAACCTTGGTGGCTTAAAACCACAGAAATTTATTTTCTCACCATTCTGGAGGTCAAAGTTTCAATATCAAGGTGTCAGCTAGGCTAATCTCCCTCTGGAGACTCAGAAGAAGGATCCATTCCTTGCCTCTCCTAGCTTTTGATGGCTGCCAGCCATCCGTGGTATCCCATGGCTTACAGGTCCATCACTCCAATCTCTGCCTCTCTCTCCATGTTGTCCTCTCCTCTTCAAGTTTGTCAAAACCCCCTCAGTCTCTCTCTAGTAAGGATACACTTGATTGCATTGATTCCTGGATAATCCAGGAAACCTTTCTCCTCTCAAGACACAACCTTTACTGTGCAAGATAGTATCTTTTGCTCTTCTGCCATATAATGTAAGAATCACAGGTTCTTGGGATTAGGATGTGGATATATATTTGGGGTCACCATTCAGCCCACTACACTACCTATTGTAGCTTCTTGGAAAAAAAATTTACTTTAAGTGTCTTCCAACTGATTAAGAGAGTAAAATCAAGAGCTCATGAATGAGAAAATTGTGGTGTAAAAGTATTGACAGATAAAGGATGATTTTCTAAATATGTTCAAAATCTATCTTCTTCTTCAACAAAATACATAAAAATAATTCTCAGGATAGAATGTCTATAAACAAAAAATAACAATTGTCTGTATGTTAAACCCATATTATTTTACAACTTT